AAGCAATTAAATAAAATATTATAAACAATATCATATGAGCTCAGCAACCAATAATAATGATTAAACTTAAAGTACTTAGGCAGTTAGTATCAGCATTAAGTAAGAAGAGAGCAAGGCTCTGCAAGACAATTAGGAGGATGAAGAAGACGAGGGGTAAATCGACCCAAATGATGTTTTTAACATTATGATCTCAACTGATAATCACCTGGGCTACAAGGAAAACGACAGAGTCAGAAGCAACGACTCATTCTTGGCCTTCTAAGAAGTCTTAGCTACGTAAGACAGTATCTGTGATTACTGAATTTTAGAGCAAATGGAACACCAAATTTAGACTACTTGCTTCTTGGCGGTGACTTGTTTCACGACCATAAGCCATCTCGAAAGACATTGTAATCTGAATGATAATTAATAACTTCTCTAGCTTCAAACTGCAGCAGATGATGAACTAATATGTGTTTGGAGAGCAGAACATTTAGTTTTAGACTTACTAGTATAAGGAGGCTAACTACAACAATGAGAATCTGAGTGTCAAGCTGCCCATATTTATCATTCATGGCAATCATGATGATCCCTCTGGTCTAGAGTACCTGTCTAACATCGACCTCATGAATTCCAATAACTATGTCAATTACTTTGGGAAGGTAACTAACATTGAAGACATCGAAGTGGTGCCAATCTTGTTTGTAAAAGGCTAGACTAAATTAGCGCTTTATGGCATTGGGAACATGAAAGATGAGAGATTGAATATTGCCTTTGAGAATAAGAAAATCAAGTTTAAGAGGCCTCTGAACAACAAAGATGACTGGTTCAACATTTTAGTTCTTCATTAGAACAAGTACAAAGGAATGCACTTGGGCATGAATCGTAGAAACTCGCTCACTGAGGGCATGATTCCTAAGTTCATTCATTTGGTGATCTGGGCGCATGAACATGAATCCATTCCTACCCTTACTGAATGCCACGAGAACGGAGTCCATTTCCTTTAGCCTGGCTCTACTGTTGCCACCTCTCTTATCCAAGCTGAGTCTAAGGACAAGCACTGCTTTTATCTTTAAGTTTACAAGACTTCATTCAAGGTGCAAGCACTCAGACTTTAGAATATCAGGCCTTTCATATTTGAAAACATAGAACTTAGCAGAGTCCAACCAACATTAGACCCTAGAAATAACGCCTAAATTGAAGATTATCTGATTAAGAAAATAGAGTCAATGCTTGCCAAAGTTGATGCAACGAACAAGATAGATGAGTTGAAGCTGCCACTAATCAGACTCAAGATAGAGCATTCAGGGTTTCCTGTCTTCAGATCCAAGAAACTCAACGACTACTTTACTCAGAGGTATTAAGCATATATTAAAGCCAATATATAGGATTGCTAACAATCAGGACTTTTTGCATTTTCACAAGAAATTAGACAAACTTAGCAGTTATTAAAACGGCTATAACAACGGTGATGGAGCATCTAAATCAATGACTGGAGGCACTCAAGATGTGAATCTGATGGTGAGTGGTCCAGGACTGCCAGGAATAGACGATGATGAAAATTAGTCCTTGCTTCAGTCAATCTTCAAACGTAAAATCTCAAGTCTTATTTATATAACTAGTAAAAATGAAGGACTTCTGCACATTGAATTTGATTCCAATAGGCAAGATGGCTGGAGAGATCGAGAGATATGTAAACAGCGGTGACGCTCATAGACTTGAGTTGTTCTTTGATAATGAAGTGTTTAAGAGATCTTACAAAGACCTGAACTCAGCTTTTCAAGAGATGTTTAATTGTAAGTAAACTCGAATTAAGGTGACTACTTTGATCAGAGAAAAAATCTTACCGAGAGATGTAAGATGAAATAGAGAAGAATATGCGAATGAGAGTGAAAGACTGTTTAGGCAGGGTGTTTATAGAGGACTAGGATGAAGTGATTGACACCAGAGACACTTTTCAGTAGAATGATATGGAGTAGATAGAGCAGTAGAGACATACGTATCAGAGTCTGAAGAGATCAAACTATGATCAGAGATAGAACAAAACTAGTGTGGGTGGGAATGGATAAAGTGAAACAGCCAGTGCTTCTAAAGCTGCCAATGCTAGTGTCCCTGGAAATATGTTCTAAATTGGCAGATACACAAGCACTCTTGGAAATTAAAGCGTCATCAGACAAATTATTAGTTAGAAAAACGAATAAGCAAAAGAATAGTACTTGTAAGAAAAGCAAGATTTTGATAGTATATTTGGAGATACCAATATCAACCCTAATCTAAATAGTGCTGCTGTAGCTAGTGACTCAAATAACAATCAAAGGAATACCTCAGGAAAATAAATTAAAGAATATGATATGGATGATGATTTGGATATTCGCATCGATGATAAAAAGTTTTGATTAAATAATTACTATAATCTGCCAAATATATTTGAGTTTTTGAAATTACGGGGTTTTGGGGTTTTGGGG